GATTTACCTGCTCAGTGCTCAAGCTGGCCTCATTCTATTCAACCCTGTTGGCCCAAACATCCAAAACATCAACTAAAATAATTAAATTAAATTAAATTCGGGACCCAGGAAACTGAAATTAAATTGGCTAAAAAATGATAATAATATGATTTAATTTGCACCAATATCCTTGGATTTTAATAATTATTTCCAACACATATTTATAATTTTATTAAAATATGCATGCAGAAGATAAAATTGGATTTAGAAAAAAACAATCAACAAAGAGTGATTACAATTTTTTTAAGATTAGAAATTAATGTAGTACCCTAAAAGTAAGTTTCTGTAAGTTTTTTTCTTTAAAATATTGTAAGAGGTTAAACAGATTTATACCAGTAAAAAGTTAGTTCCAAAAATTTGAATTTTTCTCAGTTTTAGCATGAACACAATGGTCAAGTTAAAATTTATTTAAGCAAAAATGTCAAGAAGTACATAAAATTTACTTAAACTAATTAAATTTATTTAAGTAAAACTAATTAAATTCACTTAAGCAAATTTATTGCAAGCGAACGTGTCAATCCCTGATTATGTGGCAGTGGCACTTGTTGACTAGTAGTAACCAATATGTTTTGTCACATATTTTATTTCATTTTGATGTTGTTATACCGTTTTAAGAAAAATTTACAAAATTTTTATTGTTTCTTTTGTCCACTTCAATAAATTATTTGAAAATTATACTATTTTGGTATTTTATATAATTTTTGTCAACAAAAGTCAAAAACTCGAATTATACTATGTGTTGTTACCTTTTTTAATGATGAGAAAAAGCATTTTTGGAGATTTTGGAAGTGGAAAAATGTCGAAGTTTGAAACTTTTGGTGTTTGCTTTGGCCATTCAATTTTGTTTCAGACAAGGGGTTCTTAGTTGAAGCAGAAAATTTGGGTGGTGAACCTATTGATGTTATTCCTAAGGAGTTTGGAGTGAGAACATTGGCTTAGGAATATGCAGTGGTGCTTTCACTATTTTAGGGGATGTTCTCTTCTTTGCTAATTATAAGAATAAGAGATTGTACAAGTAATCGATTGGATCCGAATTCTTAGCTGCAATAATACATACTTGATTTACTTTAAATAAGGTTTCAAAATTGAACTTTATACATGAACAAAATTATTGTTAAGAAAGCTAACTCATTGTATTGTAATTTTTTTTATTCAAATAGAATGATCTCATTTGAACTGCATGTGAAAAATATTCGAGGCCCTGGACAAAATGAAAAACAAACAAATTCATTCAAAAATATGTAGCAACAAAAAAATTACACAATTTATTACTAAAACTGGAATTTATAGAAGAAAGGAAAAAAAGAGGACAAAAGTTAATGGTAGTTAAGGATTTGATTAACAAATAAAACTTAAGTTTGACTTAATCATTGTATTTCGAATTATGATATATAACATTAATTTGATTAGGAATAATTAAATATCTAGCATTTTTTTTAAAAATGTATATAATTAATTTTATTTAAATAATTACCTTAGTACGGTTACATAAAATATATATATATATATATATATAATGAGTAAATTAAAAATGATAAAGAACACTAACTCAAATATGTAATACTGGAAAATTAATATGTACATATAATTAATCTTAAATAAAATATTTTAATTCAATTTGATTTGTTTTCATAATATTGAAAATAGAATATGAATTTATAAATCAAATGTTTTAATTCAATTTGATTTGTTTTCATAACATTGAAAATAGAATATGACATTCATAAATTCTCTTTTAATGACATTCATAATTGTTTTGAGTCATTCAAGGAAAGTTCCAGCTAGAGACCTACAGGTTAGGGCAACCACAGCCTAATGTATGACATATGACTAGGTAAAATACATTATTTGAAGTCCACTTAAGTACATTAATTTGTCTATAACACAAACATTTCATATGGCTCAAGGGTGAACTTCATTATATCAAGTACCTTATTATTTCATTAATATTATTCTGTTAGGTAAAATACTGATTTAACCATTGGAATTCCTTTGAAAATACTCCCACACCTTCTTCACTCAGCTTATTAGCTCAAAAGAAACAACCATATATTTCTCAGGAAGTCATTTGGGCCTGTCAACCTTTGGGAACCTTGAAGTGATACCAATTCATTAACATTTAAGAACAAAACAGTTTTTTTTATTATTATAATTTATTTAAAATTAATAAAAAAATATGATTGTTATGTTATACTAATAATTAATAAAAAAAAATATAATGAATGTATGACTACATAAATTAATAAATATATATATAAATTAGTAAAAAATTAGAAAAGGTATAAAATATATACTTTTATTTAATTATTTTATACTTTTTCCTTTCGAATTTATATAAATTAATGATATATTACATATTTATTATTATTATTTAATTCTTAAATGAAATTTTAGTGCAAAAAAAATGAATTTCAATAATGTTAAACTCATCTAAAACGTATTTACGCACACTCCTAATTCTAACATATTCTTTTTCTATTAGAAAATTTTCCCTTGTTTACGTTTAGGACCCTAAATTTTTCTACCCTGCATGATTTTTTGTGGATTTTTTTATTTTTATTTTATAAACTTAATCACATGAAAATTGTATAGATTAAATGAATGAACATTAAGGATATGTTTTGATATTTCGATTTGTTTAAGGACTGCGTATTCCGATCCAAAAACCAAACTCAAGATACTTTTAGTTATCTATTCATTTTTCTTGCAAGGGTGAAGGGTGAGAGGCAAATCCAAAGATTCAATATGCCTTTCAACTTGCATTTCCATGATACTCCCTACGTTTAAAAAATAGGAAGTCACTCTCACTTTCCCACATTCTGCCACCCTCCATGTTAAGAATTTGAGCATATTCAATGATTAGAGGAATTCATTCTCTATTAGGATTATCTTGTAATTGCAGTTGAATATTAGAGTTGTCACTTACTGCATCAAATTGCTATTAATAAAGTTCTTCTGATATCACTGGGTAGGCTTTCTATTTTATATGTTGTCATTTTATTGGTACACACACATTGACTTTGGCGTTAAATTTCTCTGCAAGTTATAAAATTGACTTTGCCTCCTCGCTGGAACAACTTCTTCATCGCCACTCTCATCAATTGAAGTAAATCGAGTGGGCTTTTGGACTGAGAAAGCTCACGAGATCACCATCTACAAAAGAATATCATATTCCATTAATAAAGTTGTAATTTTTCTTTATAAACGTTTAACTTTTTAATTTATCTTATAATTTTTTACTCAGTAAAAAAAATTTATCAATAAAAATAATAAAATTATAAATAAAAATGCTCAAGAAATTCACCGAAGATTTGGCTATAGAACAGAGTCTCTCCTAAGAATATCATGAACTTCTATAAAAAAGAGAAAAAAAGAAATGAAAGGTAAATCTAACTTCAAACTTAGAGAAACTTACTTCAAATCCCTTAAAATGGACAGAATCACAAATCTAGAGAGAAATCTAAGTTTAAGAAAGTTTAATATGAGTGAAAATGGTGATATATGACCTTGGAACCTTTGAGAAGTGAAAATCATTTTTATCTATCTACTTAAAACAAGAAATAAGACTTGAAATGATCGACGCTAAATTAAAAGAAAATTTGGTCATTTTCTACTATTCTTTTTCTTTATTTCTTTTTTATAGATCTCCCTTCTTGATCTTTCTCTAATACTATTCTTCTATAAACTTTGCTTTTTGTTTTCAAATTGTTGGTTCCTCCTATACTTATTTTTTTTTTAAAAAAAAAATCTCCTTTCTTTTCTAGGTTCTATTCTCCTCAATTTTTCTTTCTCTTTGAAAAGAAAAAATATTCTCCCTTTCTCTTCTAGATCCTCCTTTTCATAAATTCTTCTCCCTTTTTTTTTTTCCGATGCTGATGCTTCCCTTTTTTCTTGTTTTGCTAGAAACAAAACAAAATATTTGATACACTTCTTGTTTCATGTATAAAGGAAATGTCCTTGATGCTATTTTCCAATCAACAAATGTTTAATTTCTTTATTGAAAGACAAATTTGTTTTATTCTAAATTTGTAAAGACCAAACTTTTTATTTTAAATATAAAAACTTTTAAACTAAAAAGAGGTATAGAAAATAAAATAAAATAAAAAATAAATATTCACATTAAGACTGGTAAATAACTCACTTTTTTTAAATTAATAAATTTTAATGAATTTCATATGAGTCTTATAAAGAAAAAGTATCAGAAGTTGATATTTACTAAGAAGATTATTGACATGCCTTTGTCCCTTCTTGTTATCAACTCTTCAAATTTTTTAGGAGACAATTAAAAGTTCTTTAAATTTTGATATTGTGACAAAATAAGTCGTGAGAGTATGAGATTTAAGTATTGAGGGTGTATCATCCATTCCTTCACCATTTTTAGCATAAACTTTTCTTCATTTATCATCATTGATCCTAGAACTATAATGTTGATTAATTGTGTCTTCTAAAAATTTAAAATAATTTTTTTATTGTCTATATTTATGACTTAACCTATATCAAAAACTACATCCTTAATGAGTACTCTATAGATTGGAATTTAGTGTTTATACATAGACATGTAAATTTTATATGACTTTGTTACACGCTTAAAATATGAGTCTAAAAATTTATATCTCTAAATTTTTTAACAAGAATTAAATGTGTAAATTAGTCAAATTTAATATAATATGAAAATTTAACATTGCATATCTATTTACCGTTGTTGTAAAAGTTACTCACGTATAATTTTACTAAAATTATTTATACTTAAATTTTATTCTAAATTAATTACTAATAATTATTGAAATGACAACAGTTTTCTGTTTTAAAGTATTAATTGATCGGCGGTTCAACAACGATGCTGGATCTGCGACATCATTGGATAGGGTCAAATCTAATAAGTCACATTATTTGCGAGAGGTAGGAAAGTCAACTAATTAACCTACCAAACCAAACTCAACACAACCATTGCTTTGTGCTGTTGCAATAAACAGTTTTCAAATTTTTAAGAAAAAAATAGGTGAGAGAATAATTTGCCTTTCCCTCCATTCAACGTGGTAATTATCGTGATTGAATCTTCGCATACAAATCAGAAGTAATGTATGCAGCGCCGCCTCCGGCGCCGGCGATCTCGGACGGCGGCGTTGCCGGAGATCCCGCTGGTCCTTCGCTGGTCAGAACATACCGCACCTGGAAAGGCAATAATGTAAGCTAACATCACACAAGTGTTCTTATAGCTCAAGCTTAAGTACCCCTCTAGAGTTTCTTCCGCCGGTGTTCAATTCTCAATTGATCCATTTTTCAATAAAAGGTTTCCATTAAAAATTATAATATTTAATTTTATAAATATATTGAATCTTGTGATATCTTCGGATTTCTAATAAAAGCTTAGCTTACTGTATATGTATATAGGTTTCTAATACTTGCTTGACCTTTGTTACATTTTGGAAAAACAATAATTTTATACATGCAAGGATAGAACTTGAGTTCCAGGAGAAGAATTTCTATATTCGGATGATATTAGATCATGTTTAATGATTCAATGCATTTGTTGAGTAAAGTTTATGCTCTGTTATCATTACTTAAACCTTTGTGTTTTGAATTTGTGGCTGTTCTATTTTTTCAGGAATTTTTTCTTCAGGGGAGGCTTATATTTGGACCTGATGGGAAATCTATATTTTTGACAATCTTTCTTATCGTTGCCCCTGTTGCTGCTTTCACTGCTTTTGTGGCTGTGAATTTGTTGGATGATTTTCCTTATCACTCGGGATATTCAATATTGATCGTAGTTATTGTTCACACAATGTTTGTAAGTCACTTTTGTTCTAAAGTACATAGTCTCGTTCATTAATTGATGATACAAATATGTGTTTAATATGCTCAGTAGTTGCTCTTGACCCCCTGATATTATGTTCTAGTAGTATGGCTTTCTAAATAAGCCATACAATACAAGAAAGTTACCTGAACCCCAAAATTAGTTTTCATTCAAAAAATTGGGCCATTTTTTTCATACTAAAACGTACAGAATTGAGCTTAATAACAACTGTGGATTCATTTTTAAATGTGTATGAATCCACGTTTACTCCAATGCTATTAGTTGTAACTTCTACGTTGGATCCATGTTTACGAGTCTTATAACATGAATCCAAAGCAGAAGCTTTCAAAGAAAGATGTAGATTACTTTTTGAATACCACTATTCAAGTCTGTTACAGCACAATGCTTCTCATTCAAGTCTTGAAACGTATTCTCAGGTTCTGATCACACTTCTACTGACCTCAGGAAGAGATCCTGGCATAGTGCCTCGCAATGCTTATCCTCCAATGCTAGATGAAAGTGATGGGAGTTTCCATATCAACAATGAACAAAACCCACGGCAACATTTGCCACGAGCAAAGGAAATAATTGTGAATGGAGTATCTGTGAAGATAAAATATTGTGACACCTGCATGCTGTATAGACCTCCCCGCTGTTCTCATTGTTCAGTGTGTGATAACTGTGTGGAACGATTTGATCATCACTGCCCATGGGTGGGTCAGTGCATTGGATTGGTAATGGCCTAATGTTCATCCTTTCATATAGAATCAGCAGTACTATATATCTCAATTTCTAAGTGATGTGATGATATTTCAAAGGCACCATCTTAGGGTCTTTTCCTTATCAGCATCATATTATGATTTAGAATAACAATTTCTGTGATTTCCTTTAAATTGGTTATATGTTTTTTGTTTTACAATACAACTATCATGTTCTTGAGTCTTGACAATTGCGAAATCCCCAAACAAACAATGTTAGAGTGATATTTAAACTCTCAATTTACTGTGATCAAATAGTATGCACTAGGCGGGCATGTCAGAATTATTATTGAAAATTGGTATGCACTAGGTAGGAATTCTAGTGCAGACTATACTACACGTAGATATCTTTAGTACTTGAAGGCAGAAATTGTAGAATGTTGTTGTCCGTTGATGGAAGGCATTAATTAGTCCTAAAATTACACATAATTTACACACAGAAATTGGTACAGAACTAGGAATAGAAACGGTTCATATATTATAGAACCATAGCTTAAACTCTATGTTCAGTGTCTCTATTTAAATTCCTACTATCGGTCTGTTTGATGATCATTTCTTGAATATATTTTTTTCCAGCGTATAAAAAAAAAGGAAATGCAGGAAGGATTCTTTGCATGTATTTTGGTATTTTCTGCTTTCGTACTCAAATATCACATCTAATTCTAAGGGTACAAGAACAAGGACAAACAACTAATAATACATAATTATATTTTTAGTATACATGATCATAAAGGTGCTAAGTCATAATTTCTTTGACTCTTTGCTTATATGTACATTCATGGCAGCGAAATTACCGGTTCTACTACATGTTCGTTTTCTCTGCAACACTTCTTTGCTTCTATATTCATGGATTTTGCTGGGTCTACATTGCGAAGATCATGGACTCACATGAAGTATCAATTTGGAAAGCAATGATCAAAACTCCTGCTTCCATTGCACTCATAATATACAGCTTCATTTCAGTTTGGTTTGTTGGTGGCCTCACTGTTTTCCATACATATCTAATCAGCACAAATCAGGTTTGAACTCCATTTAACTCAGTCCCTTAACCTTTGATGTAACTTCTACTATTTTTAAGGTGTTTTCAATCATCCCCTCCGTCCTACATTTGGAAACTTTGATATAATACAGACAGCTATATATGATGTTAGGAATATTTCATTTATGAAACTCTTATTTGATTTATTACACGTGTTAATGAATTATGACAGTTCCTTTTGTTTTATGTGCAGTCTACATATGAAAATTTTAGATACAGGTACGACGAACAAGTCAACCCTTATGACAAAGGGATAGTTAAGAACTTCAAAGAAATATTCTGCTCTGCCATTCCACCATCCAAGAACAACTTCAGGTCTAAGATTCCACTTCCAAAGGAAATATCAGATTCATCTAGAAGAAGGGTTGTTGAATCCCTGAGCCCTATGGTGAGAAAAACAGAAGATGATATAGAACTAGGGGTGCCAGTTTACAATGAGGTTGAGGAGGAAAGTGACTATAAAGATGAATTTAGCAATGATGAGGAACTTGGCAAGGGTAGTGAGATAAGTGACATGTCCGTGGATTTAAGTAGGATACTTCACACGGAAGGGGGGCAGAGACAAGTTGCTTCAATTCTAAGGCACTCATTGTGGGAAAGGAGCAGCAGAAAGTGGGACGCAAGTCCTAAAGTTCAGGACAGGATCACCAGTGACAGTAGTGATGAGCCTAGTGGTGGCAACTAAACAAAAGCGGCTCCATAAATGTAAGAAATTCAAAGATGTAAATTAAAATGGATTTTCGAATGTGTGTGCTCATAGTAAATTTTTATTAGAAATTATAATATTTAACAGAATCCAATACATCGACAACATTAAATGATACAATTTTTAATTAAAAATTTGTTATTTATTAAATTTTTATTCTGTATCTTTGGACACATTAGAAAAAGTAAAATTAAAATTACAAAGTTGGTTGGGCAACAGGGAGGTAATGTTTGTGTTTTAATTTGGTTAAATCTCAGATGTTTTTGGACCTTGCTTTATTGATTGATTGTTAGACATTGGATTTTTTTGGGGTTACTGTGGTGATATAGTTCTCGAAAGTGGAACTTGTGTACAGCAGAAGAATAGAAATTGTGGAAAGTGATCCTTCCAACATGTGCATTAAACTCTTTTTTCTCTTACTTTTCTTTTGCTTTCTCCTTTTATTATTATATTCCTTCGAGAAATTCATTGATCGGACGATTTGATATCAAGATTGCTTGCAAGTTTGGGGTGTAGTTAATTTATTTTATTTTATATTTTTAATTTTAGAAGAAAAGCAGCAGGATAAACCGTATTGCATTTATATAGATTCAATTTCTCTAACGATGAAGAGGTTAATCCAGATGACTATGATCTACTTCTGTGAGACCGACAAGGAAGAGCTAGTGAAAGGTACATACGTAAGCAAAAATAATTCAAATTGCCTTATATGAAAATAGAAACCAAATTAAGCTTTTAGGCTTATTTGTTGATAGTATAACATTTGCTGAGAATTGTCATTTTCGATATTTGAATTTTATGATAACTAATAAACTAATCCAATATACAACTATCAATGAGGAAAGCTAAAAAGCGACTAATTTTTTAACGCAGTCACATTTTTAAAAACACATTATCGTAATATAATATCTGAAGATGATCTTGTCCAACATAAGTCAAGTAATATTAAATTATGGTAGTTGTTATATCATTTGTAAATACAAGAACTTTTATAATTAAAAATATCACCAATTTTGTTGAATTTTATTTTGGTCACGTATTTGAATCGTGAATTAACTTATTTTTATTTAAAAATAAATTATAATAGATGCAGTTCACGAAAAAATTTATTAAATAATTCTAATAATGTAATCTAACTTTAGAAAAAAAAATACATAGTTAAAAAAAATCCAAGAAAAAAAATAAACAAAACAAATAACTGATCATTAAACAATCAAGAGAGGAATGATTAAAAATTAAGACTAAAAGTTTATTAAAAATTAGAATATTTAAAGTTATCAATGCACTTTTTTTTGTAAATTTGAATATATATTTTTGTATATTGATTTTTACCATTGCCCGCTAAAGGCGATGATTAGCAAAACTGTTGACAATTAAAGGACTGCTAACAAAGTTTTAATTGCCTCAAACATTGGTGCAAAATTGCAAGTGGCAACTTCTGGACAAATGTTTTCAGGAATTTACCTTTGTTTGCTTGGTGTAAAAAAATAAAAATCGAATGTGTTTATTACGGGAAAGGTTCGGTTTTGAGGCATGGTAAATTCATCAATTGGAACGTTTGAAACCACTGAACTTAATCTAAATTTAAACTATGTATTCGACTCATTCCTTAATATTTAGAAAAATTGTTAAATATATTTAATTGTAACCTATAATACAAAATTGACTCTATACCATCATATAGTAACTGTGTAATAAGATATTAGCCTTTTAATTGTATGACCAATGCATAAAGACCTCTTCTGTGTTCAGGTTATGCATGCATGCATTCCATCAAGAACAAAATTTGAATGCTAAACCTGTTGCCAAGCTTTTTTTTTTTTTTTTTTTGTTGTTGTCACGCATCCATCATTGAGTCACTTTGCAAGAATCTTGGGCACTTAACGGAGTTTAGGTTTTGAGGGATGCTAGTAATACACTCTAATATACAATTTATTATTGACTAAAATTTATTAAAAATTAAAAAATATAAAAAAAACATTAATTTAAGAGTAAAAAAAGTAAGATCTGCATATTTTTTTAATTTATTAGACATTACTCTCAATGCAAAAATTAATTGCTAACATCTAATGCATCTTGTGTTGCATGCATATTTAATAAAAAAAATGTTGATTTTATTTTGTTAGTCATGTTATATTTTGTCAATTGAGTAACAAACAAACAAAAATATTTTTAGTACAATTTTTCAAATAAAATTAAAATTGTGTTATCTTTAATATTGACCTTAAAACTATAATCTTAAGGATAGAATTTAAGCCTATTATTATAAGTATTTTTTGTGTTGTTTTTTAATTAAAATTAAAATTAAAGTTTTACTTAATAATCTGCATATAATTCTTATTAAAGAACAACATTAGAAGTACCTATAAGGCTGCACTTAAATTTTGCCAATTTTAATTAGATAATAACACCAAAAGCACTTAAGATACATTATTTTTGTTTTGTTTCAACAATCCTTTGAATCACATAGAGCATGCCTCATTAATTATGGATGACAAATGTTAGGAACACTTTTTTTAACACAATCTTTCAAACACTATTATTTGCTGAAATTTATTGAAATTCAAAAAATTATGAGTTTCACTGTTACATGAATTCCACTTAAAATTTTATAATAAATTTTAATCATTAACAAAGTATGTTAAAAAAACATTATCACTTCTCATTATAAGAGTCATGCCACAGATTTGGCAAAAAATCCAGATAAGGGAAGTTTGATTATGGTGATTGTAGTCCACTGTCAACTCCATACCACATGTTGATATACATACAAGTCATAAATTATAATTGCATTTGTGCCATGCTACAAATTATGGAAGGTCTTCCGTGTTAGTCTCCAAGCCAAACGTTTGATCTCCACATCGCACTTAGCTAACATGGTTATATAATAACAAGCTCTACAATGAAAGTCAGAACCGCCGCTTCACAATTATCCAGATTTAGGTCCAAGTTTTTACCAGTTAATAACAGAATCTTCCAATTGGCTAATGCAATAGAATACCTATTCTTGAAAAGGGGGGGAAAATGCTACTATCCAAACGCTGGAAATGGATTGTGGAATTCATACAATTCTTCTTCCAAACTTCTTGTCCTTCTCCCTCTCCTCCTCCACCAGTGGAACTGTGTAATGATGTTCTCTTTGAAATCTTTCTACGCCTCCCCCCAGAAGTGCTCCCACGTTTTAGTACCCTCAACAAACAATCAAATGACATAATCAACAGCCCAGTGTTCCAAACAACATACTGGACACAGAAGCTTGGCCTCCCTCGCCTTTTTGGAATTGTGTATTATCAACGGAAGTTGATCAACCGAAGGCGCATTGCCTTAACCATCGAATATTGTTAATGGTTGGACAAGAATTTAAAAGTAACTGCATGTAGCAACATTTTGAAATGGAATATGCACTACGCCTCCAGTGGTGAACCTTGCTAAGATGACAACATACTGTAGAGCTATTAAGGAAACCCATTTTTTTTCCAAGATAAAAGGGAGAGAGAACATGTACAATAACATTTTTCGCAACATGAATAATCTGTTTTTGTTTGCACCACTGACAATTTTAAAATTGCAAACCACTTGCGATTCCAATAAGCTATAATCAGACACAACCCATAAGCTATGCATCATAGGCCCTAGGCTTTTCTTTTCCTCTAAATTTCAGGAATGACAAAAAGCAAACTAAAGATTTTCATATAACAGGTTCGGCAACAACAAATTAGTCTTAAAAAAGTCTGCTAAATAATAAGATTCCAATATTTATGACCAAGCAAAAGAGAAATTCAATATTAGATTTGTTAACTGAGAAAGCAAGTTGATAGCCTTTGAACTTCATTGCATATTCTGAAGCTTTTTCATGATAAGCATGCTCATCTCCATGTAACGCTGTGCACAGTTTGAAAGACAATTAGATTCACTGGAACTGAAACTATTCCCGGGAGTACCTGTGATACATTTGTCCCAGCATTCACTTGTTAGCTTTGACACCATTTCATTAATCATGGCTCTTTGTTGTTCTTCCTGCAATTGGAAGGCATGGTTAAGGTTATATTACTTAGATGGGGTATGGGCAAAAAATTTATTTATACCAAAACCACATAAAAGCCTAAAGAGAAGTGGATGCCTATTATAAGTGGTACATACAGGAATACCATTTTAAGCCTCCACAACCACAACAACTGACTGTGGTTAAACAGAAAAACTTAAGCATCATGTTATTTACCAAAACAGGATCTGAAGGAAGGATAGAAGCACAAAATTTTATCCAGAATATGGCTAGCATGTTTACACACACTACCTAATTTACAAACAAATATTATTTTGTCTATCACCCTTATCATCAGGGTTTTTCTTCTATATTTATTGTGTTCTGCGTTTGCTAAATTTTACAATTTGAACGGCAAATTAGATTTATAGCTATAATAACATAATCAACCTTCTTGCAATTCAAAACCTGTTTCAAGATTGAGATACCAAGGAAGACCACTCAGATTCAAAGTCTATGCCAGAAAACAAGCATAAACATATACTAACCACTCAGACAAGATTACACGTCAACGATTCCACTGAAACTAAATGCAAAATCAATTTAAAAATAAACAGAATAGTGTTATTTACTTAAATCAGAAAGGAAATACACATTTTCAAAGAAATAAACAGCGTAAAACAAGGTATACTAACACGAGGCTCCAAACTGAATCGAAACGAATAAAAGAACGGTATTTATCAGGCAACCAAAAGCAATCAGAAGAGAAGGAATGAAACTTACAGAGTAGAATTTCTGCATTTCAGCGGAATTAAGATCTGAAAGATCCATGGAGACTGGAGAGAGTTAGAAAGAGAAAAGTGAAGACTTCAACCAAATCTCAAAAAACCGAAAAGAGAAAACCCTAATGCCACAGTTCGTGGCGAAACGGAGTCACTATAGAAAACCTAACAAGCTAAAACCTTCTAAAACCCTTTTTTTTTTTTAATGGTTTTAGAAACCTAAAATGAGGTGATAGTAAGCAAACAGAGAGGAGGCATTAGTATTTTGAAGGCCCAATGCTAATTACTAAAGAAAAATGGCCCACCTTACCCACAGTCAATAGAAAGGGCCCAAGAGCTAAATAAAGGATGGCCATTCAAAAGTCGTGACAATTAAAAACAACGGCTACAAATTTGGGGTAAATAGTTGACCAAAAAAATTTTGGGGTGAACAGGAAGATTTGATTATTAGTCAGTACTTGTATATAAAATGAGAATTATTATTTTTAGAAAATAATTTCTTTTAATTTTTTTATTATGTCATATAGTTTTTCTTGTATTGAATATTGAATTTTTCATAATTTATTTTTAAATTTTTAAAAAAATTTATCTCTTTAATTTTCCCATTTAGTATAACATATTATTTATTATTAATAACAATAATGCTTATATTTTATTAAATTTAAAAATAGTTATATAACATATCCTTAAGTTTTTATTTTAAAAAAATATTAGTCTAATACTATCTCTGAGTGGACAAAAAATTCACAAATATATTTAAACCTATTACAAGTGCATGGAGCATTGTGTGTTGCAGGCTGAAATGCTTAACAAGTGTTAGATGAGGCATTCAGCCCAGTTAAGAAATTGATTGTTCGTGATCAATATCGTTCATTGTTAACTTTGGTCTTTCTATATCAAAAGCAGAACAATTTTCTTTAAATAATATAAGGGAAAAAATCAATGAAACTGTTTTATGATAAACTGATACTTTATTAAGCCATAACGAAGCACTCTTTTTTTATTAATTAAAACAAAGATTAGTTGAATAAAGATTGATAAGCACTAGATTCATTTCCTACAATGAATATAATCAAACGTTGGAATGAAAAATGTGGTATTTTCCCTAATAGATTATTAGAAATCAGAACATTCTTATAGGTTTGACTGCATTCTCAAAAATTGACGAGTTCTGAGATGAATTAACAGAATGGCGAAGTTTCTTATGCGTTAAGCATAAAATTGCCTTTTATGTTGTATTGGTAGTAGAAGATCATGCACGCATGATTAAATGGTAGGAAGGAGGCTCCACACACCCAAAAGGAAAGAGAGGGAATTGAAATGGGAAATGATTGTTTAAATGCATTAAGAAAGAGAAGTGAGACCCATGCGTAGAACTACAAGACACTCGTTTAAAGAATTACCACCCACAACGTGCATTGCTTTTGTTGCAACTGCGGAGTAAAGGGGTTCAACCTTGCAAACATGCAAAGGGGACTTTTTATTTTCTTTTCAATTTTCTAGCAACCCATTGAATCTTTCATAATCTTTAGTTACGTGGAAAAAAGTTTGCTCTTCAAAGCAAAGTACATGTAAGCAACATCTTCATAGTGAAGTAAAGTACCAATCTTTTTTTTTGGGCACAGGACAGGACTTGTATATCTTAGTTGACAATGTGCCTCTTGTGGCTTTGCCTTTTCATTTTCCTTTCGATGTTCGTCCAAATTCGATTACGAATAACAATGTAAGATTATATATAATTAGCCTAATTAAACTAAATCGTGATAAAGAAAACTATCAAAAAGAAAACTTAGAAAAAGCGACCTCGTCTTTAGAAACACCTGCAGCAGACATAAAGTGAGTGGCTGAGTCATTTATGCACCAATAATTGAAATTCATATATACAATTTAAAGAATAAGGAGAGAAAGGCTAGTTAATTTAAATACCCAATCCACCAAGTCACCAAGATAACTTTAAACATAGTAAATTTCGAAATTCTTTTTTCAAAAAAGGCAAAGATAATGGTTTAATTAGTTCTTGGTTATGCAGTTTCGTAGCCCCACATGTCAAAGAAAAAACAGAAAAAGCTGAGTCAGTTCTAGGGATGCCAAGACGTCACAATCGCATAACCTTTGTCCATGCAACCCTTTCGTGTAAAAAAGGAGGCAACCTCTTGGGTGAAGCTTCAGTGATCAAAACTTGTAAATGATGACAAAACTCTAATCATTTTAAAATGTGTATATTTAAACCTATAGATATGTGTATGGTTGTACATGAACCGTGATAAACTATGGGTGATAGTTTGTTTTGCTTTTCAGCAGCATTTTGTTAACATTTTTTTTTATAATATATTTGGCTTATATCAATCACAATTCCTTATCCCTCAATTAAAAATCATCGATATTCCTTATAAAAACATTGAAGCCACAAATATTAAGTATGTAAATTTAGAAGTAATTCTACCCTAAAGAGAGATAGAAGTAACATTTCTACCTACATCCAACATTTACTAATTAATCTGTTTCGTATATATAAAAATCTCTAGGAATCACTGGCCTCCTAAAGGAAGAGAAACGACTTTAAAATACAAAATCTGGCGAAATTTGATTCATTATACAATAATAATAAAAATATAATTTCTAAAAAATACTGAGTGAAAAGTTAATTTATATTTGTTAAAACAATGATAAGAGTTAGTCGACAAATTTGAGAATAAAAGAGTGATGAAAAAGTAAAATTCATTTAAAGGGTCATGTAATGATAATGAGTGTCCTAAAAGAATTAAGAAACATTTAATGCATATTGTTAAACATTTCCAAATACTTGAAAGAACATGAATTAAATGCTGTTTTGCATTTTGTGTAATAAATATTTTTCTCTAATAATATTTTTTGAGTTTTGTTTTCTTACCTGTAACCGTCAGTTAACATTTGTCAAAGATTAAAAGGCATGTTTAACAATTCAATAATAAGGTTTATATATGCAAAAGTAATTAATCAACTGCTGGTTTTGAAAAAACAGTAAAAAAATAAAAGCTAACTTGACTAATCTCTTACAAAAAAAATAAAAGACTAAGTTTAACGTAAAAATATATTAATTAAGCACCCATATTTGCAGTTTTATATATATTATACTTAAATTTTATTCAATTAACAAAATTTTGTATTTAAAAAATATCCAAACACACTCTAAATTACAATGAACAAAGTAACTGAACGTTATATAAAGAGATATTATAAATATAAAAATATTGCAAATAAATGAATAATAAAAAAATATAGTAAAATTATTTGGATTAGAATTTACGTTGTAAGGAAATCTTTGGTTCATACTCACCTAAGTTAGTTCATGAATAACTTTAATAAGAATTAGTTTATTTAATAATTTTTTATAATTTAATTATTAAATAAATTAGGTTTATTAAAAATATATAAATAAAAAATTAATAAACAATTGATGCAATAATTTTATTTTATAAATAAATGTATAATTTATTTAAAACTTAATATGTATAGTTAACATGATTTATTAGACGATTGGATTAATAAAATTAATGTTTATAAAAAAATAATTCTTATCAAAATTATTTTCAAAGTAACTTTATATATATATATATATACACACACACACTTTAATCTTACCATGTAACACACAATATACTAATATATAAAAAAAATTAAACAGATCAATATAAGAATTTATCGTAAGTTATATAAAAATTATACTAGCCATATAAAATTAAACGACTCTCAAGGCTAATGAAATTTATACTTTAAATAAATATTTGGTTCACACACAGACCTGTATATAAGAAATTAAGTTACTTTATGAATAACTTTAATCAAAGTTAGTTTACTTAATAATTTTCTGCAAATAATAAATTTTATTAATTGAACTATTGAATTAAAAATACTTATTAAATAGATTAAATTTTTAAAAATCATATAAATTAACAACTATTTATTAATTAATAATTAATAAAATAACTTTATTTTAACACTTATTATAATTTTTTAAATATAATTAAATATCTGATTTTTTAAAATTTATTTATAATTAAAATTAACATATTAATTTCAACATATAATTTTATTCTAGCGATATAAAATTAAACGACTGTCAAGACTAATTCAAATTTACCGTCACGTAGTAAAATTATTCCTTGATGTCAAAATTATATACCTAATTTATATGTATAAAAATAAGATAATCTAAGAATTGTTGCTCAAACTAAAAATCATTTAAGATTTGTAATTTATTAAACATGCTTACGATTTCACCACATTTTAATCTTGTCTTTTTATTTTTTATTTCTTCTGCCACTTAAGCTAAGTATAACTTCTTTATTTTTTATTTTTATCTTCTTTATCATTCATCTTTTTTCACTTTTTTTTACGTACCCTCTCCCTTCTTTTAACTGCTCTCTTGATTGATTAATTCTTCTCTTTCATACATTAACTCGCATCAATTATTTTTCATCATTTTCTTTTTCTCTTTCAGGAGTGAATAGAATACATATTCTTTCTTTTAGAATTTCTTTTTGCGATCTTTATTTTGTCTTCTTTTATGAGGAAAAAAAAAAACAGTTTTTTACATAGTTAAAATATCTAGTAATTCATTAGATTTTCCCGTAAATCATTTTTCCCCAATAATTTCCATTAATTTTGCCTTTTCTTGCAAATTTGAGCTCTTGCCCCAAAATTTTGGAACATGCATATTTTAATTTTTTTTTTCATTAAATAAGACCTATTTTTTTTCTTACTTGTAGTGAGGATCATATCAATTGGTTAAAATACCAGCTAATTCATGATATTATTTCCAACCATTTGAATTTTTTCTACTTTTCATTATATGTTTCAGATTTTTTGTATTACTACATGATTTCTTTATTTTTCTCTAATTTATTCGCAACACTTTTTTTTTTCACTCTGTTTCTAATGCGTGAGACCATATTGATTTTTCCATTACTTTAATTAAGCACGACCATTATTTCACTTCTAATTTTTTTATTATGATTTTTTCTTATTTTTGGCTTTTTATGATGATGTTTTATGTTTTTATCCTTAATGTGGTAAAAGAAATGTTTTTTTTACTCTGTTGTTAATATGTTTTCTCTCTCAAAATTAGTCTACATATTTTTTTCCTTTTTTTATGAGATTAAATTTGATTTATACTTCTAGCCTTTATTTATTTATTTTTTTCTTCTTTTGAGATAAATTTCAAATTTATTTGTTGAAATTGTAGTTTTCTTAAAGATTTTGACTTCAATAGAAAATGAATTTATATTTCTTCTTTCTCTCTCTTTTATTTTTTGTTTTACATGGAGATGTTCTATATTCATTTTCTTTTAACATTTTCCCTTAATTATTTTTCCTATTTAATATATGATTTTAGCATTTGTACAATCTTGATTTAGTTATCTCCTATTCTTTATGTCTTATTCTGCTTCTTTTTTAATTTACCTTTTTTGGGCTTCTCATAATCGTGTTTTCAAGTCAGTCCCCTCCAAAAATTTTACTCGGCACCTTCTATCCTTTTTATATGTAAGTTAAAACCTATTGTCCATAATTTGTTATTACCTTCTATAGCTGTACGTCTTCTTGATGTTTCCTCATTCTCGAAAGTACGAGAATAAATCTTGTGATATTTGTACCTTTTGAGAGTTCGTTTGTTCTATGTTGGACTATTTTGTTATATATTATTTTATATTTGTCCCCAATTTGGTAAGAATTTTGTGATATCGTTGCTCCTTTATGCATTATTTTGGTGTTGAAATTCTTTCATTTTTTCCCATTGCTGTGTTATCGGGCCATTGATATTGGAATTTTATTTTCATTTTCATTCCTTTTGTAGGTTTTTTTATATGATTACTTCATCTTTTATCATTTATCATCTATTTTTAGATTTTTTTGGTCAAAGAGTGAAGTTTCTTCAAAGAATTTGAGTCAATGTGAGAAAGATATTTTCCTTCTTTACCTTTTTCTTTTGACAATATGCTATATTGTCATTTATATATTTTGTATTATTAATAAAAGTTACTGATATTGTGTCATAAAAAACTATTTTCATTAACCTCTATAATTTTATTAACTTAAATCGTGGTATCCAAACACATTATTAATTATAATTTATTATATTAAATAAAAAAAACACGGGCATCATTACTATTAATAACTAGTTGCAACAAAAAAAAGAAGTGATACACTAATTAATGCCAAGCATGACTCCTCATGACACCAACTTTTGGAGATCACTTATCTAAGGAGAAAAAAAAATATATCACACATGTCAGATGCCTAAATTTAACCTACCCAGTTTATCAATTAATTACCTTAAAATAGTTAATCCATATTAGATCAAGAAACTTCACACTATTGGTTTAAATACTAATTGTAGAGATTTTTCAAATTGTTAAGACATAGTTGGTAGGGCCATTCAGAATCCGAATCAGTGAGATTATACTTAAGGCTACAGTGCTATTAAAAGCACGCAATAAAACTAAAATATAAAACAAATTCGGACAGATAAATAATCGCAAAAGGTTAGGCATATATAGCAAAAGGCAAAGAAAAAGATCTTTCTAACGCTGATAAGAACTTTTGTTTAATTTACTGTCAAACATAAAATTTAGTCTGTTAAGTATTGTTGCCTTTACATGTCTGTTCTCGCTTCTTCCTCAACCAGCTAGCTTTGGTTCATTCTGAGTCTATATAAACATACTTACGCAAGCATTCATTCGTCTATATAAACATATTTACGCAAGCATTCATTGGTGTGCCTGTGATCACCCTCACTTTGAATTGGTCAAACGTCAAAGTTTGAAGGGAACAGTTGAGCAAATGGAAAAGCTAAATTTTATTAAGAATGGAGTGAGCAAATTGCCTCCTGGTTTTCGTTTCCAACCAACAGATGAAGAGCTTGTGTTTCAGTACTTGAAATGTAAAATCTTCTCGAGCCAGTTGCCAGCTTCAATCATTCCTGAGATCAATGTCAGCAAATATGATCCTTGGGATTTGCCAGGTATAACAAGGCTGTAGTGCCCAAACACAACCATGTTTTTTTCTGTGCCTTCTTTAAATTCTAGAAGAATGTGAAGAAGATTCTAAAGGTTTAATGTCAAATTAATCATTCACGTTTCTTTACTTAATGTGGAAGTTTTGAGAGTAACTGGTTCATGATATGATATTAAAGTTTCAGTCTATGCTTTGATGCTAAACGATAAACAATGTTCTTATATTATTATTTAAAAAATGAAAAGTGAAAAGTGTTTTTAACCAAAAACAATCGTTATTAATGCATCTCTAATAATTTTGAGTGTAATTTAACCTAATTTGTATTAAAAAAAATATTTTTTGACCGGTATTCTTAACAAGACCCTGCTATGATTATTTTATATGTTTAAGTGCAACTTCAAGCTAGCTATCGCGGGCATTGCTGAAAAAAAAGGGGGAAGAAAAGAAAAGATAGAGGCAAACTCAACGAAATGGAAAGTGAGGAATATTACGTTGTTGTTGTGATGCTTACTATTGAAGTTGGATGTGTGTTGTATAGGAAATTGTGACGAGGAAGAGAGGTACTTTTTCAGCTCGAAGGAAGCAAAGTATCGAAACGGCAATCGCATGAACCGAACAACCAACTCTGGCTATTGGAAGGCAACAGGATCAGACAAAAAAATTTCTTCGTCAATAAGTAATGGTACTGAGGGGGTGAGAAAGACTCTCGTATTTTATCATGGGAAACCTCCACGTGGCACTCGCACTCATTGGGTCATGCATGAATATCGCCTCGTCAGTGTAGAAACTACTACTTCCAATTCTTCCCAGGTAAAAATCTCTGTTATTTTTAATTTCGGTTGTAAATTACTTGTATTGTTATATGCAAACCATTAGGAAAAACACCAACATAGATAGATATAACCATTACTTTTACATTAAGATACATTATTATACGTCTATTTATGGGTCAAATGCTTTTGAGTTGGCAGAACTATGTAAACGAGATAGGGGATTGGGTTCTGTGTCGCATATTCATGAAGAAAAGAAGTATAGAAAGTGACGAGAACTCTACATCACCCATGCTGAATAAGAACAATAACACCGTGAGAAATAATGTTGAAGTGGCTCAACCAAGATTCTTTGATTTTATGAGCGTACATAACTCAGTTCCTGCTCCTATACATTCTTCTACGTCCTCATCTTGTTCAAGTTCCAATTACTTCGTAGAAGGCTCTTCATCTGACCACGAAGAAACAAGCGGCTATGCTCATTTTTAAGTGCAATATTACATTTCTCTTCCTTCTATCTGCAATTTGTTCACGCTGATTTGGTGCTAAAACGGAAGACATTAATTATATATTAATTCGATGTCTCACAAACATGCTTCTTCCCTACCACACTACTTGCAAGCAGAAGGTTTCCATGTTTTTCTAGTTATTTTTCTCTTTTTCTTTTTCTTTTACATGTTTAATTGTCTAATAATGTCTACTTCACCTGCTCTTATCATAACTCCATGTTAATAGATAAGGTTAGGATTCTCTCAAATCTATCTGAATTTCACTTTAGAGAGACGCTGTTTAATTTTACGGTTGAAATTTATTAAATATTATTTGATAAATTATATTATATTAATGTATTTTTAATGATTGAGATTTCATACACTGAAATATCACTCCAAAAGATCTCTTCTCATGAAGAAATATTCGGTGTTGATAATTTTCTTCTAACCAGCCCCCACCTGCAAAGGATTAATTTAGTCGAATAAAGAATTTTACTGAGCATAATAATTAATTGCAATTCAAATAAAATTGCCTTTAACTAAAAATATTAATAAAAATACGTGCACCATCAGGCCTCAATTATATATAAATACATACTCGTGAGTGTTTTTGTTATGAAGATTAAGTTATTATAAGAATAAATTTTACTCAAACTATTATTTTTTAATAACTTTTTATGAATATTGAACTTTATTAAACAGTTGAATAAAAATTTTAGAAGAAGGATAAAAATAAAAATAAAAATAAAAAAATAAATATTTTTGTATTAAAAATGAAAATAAATTTTGAAAAAAATATTAAAATGATACTTATTTCAAAATGGAAGAAGTAAATAATAATTTACTGTTATAAAATACATGGATATTGGGTCCGTGTTTGCATCCCACGTTAGTTAATCTTTTACCCTTTTAAAACCGGATCGGAATATCATGTATGCTTTTACCTTAAGGCCTTTTATTTCAAAATATTACCGAGAATGTTAATTATAAAATGTTGACAAAAAAATATTTATATATAAAAGTATAGGTGCATAATCCCTTTATGATATCAATTTCATTTTATTAAAATAAAATATAATTAAATGTGTCCCTTTAATTTTTAAATAATTTTTTTGTTAGTTTTGTCAACACATCTTAAAAAAGGATAAGGTTCCGTGAGTGTAGCCAAGGTAAATTAATATTCTGTAGAAAGGAAGAAAATTTTTGGAGTGCATTTCCCCGTCTAGAAAGTGTTGACCAAAAACAACGAAAACGCTTATTTTAAGAAAATAGACAAATAAGACTTTATTTTTAAAAATTAAAAACTGTTTTTAAAAAGGAAATTAAACATACTTTTTAAAATTTGGAGAGCACAGCTTAAGTTTCAGTAGAACGTTATATGTCCAGGTTGTGTTAGTTGCGCCTTATCTTCTTAAGTTTCAACAACAAAAGAGAAGGTTCCACTCCAACACACACAAACAACCATAACCATCCATCAAACTTTTGGAACCGCCAACAATTAACAACTGTAAACACTAACTGAATTTAGTTATTGCAACTGCCACGTGCACAGAACCCCTTCATAATAATCATCCTTCACCATGGTTCATGTTTCATCCTTGAACCATTCTCATGGGGACCAGCAATTCGAAGTTGAATGCAAATGGAGGAGGAGAGGTTTTGCCTGCAAGAATTCGCCCCTTACTTCATCGCCGAGTCGAGGAGTTAAGAAAACGCAAGAGTGGAACCAATCTACGAGGTGGAGCAGCAGTAGAAGAAGAAGAGGGAACGCTCTCCAAGAAGCAGTTGCTGAAGCACGATGATGAGAACTTTCAATCTTTTGATGAAAATGAAACTGAGAACACTCGACTAGCCGAAAGTGTAGAAAAGCTCTCCAAAGTGGTTCCATTGCCGGTTCCTGAATGTGCCACTCAGGAACAGCGTGATGAATTACACAGTGATCGTGAACTTGGGAAGAAGGTTGAGGGTGAGCTCAAAACAGAGAAGGTGAAGAGTGCAGGGCCACAAACAGAGCAAGCAAATGCAGAACATGGTGGTGATGATGATGACGATGACGAGGAAGATGAGGATGAGATTGAAAGTGGAAGACGTATAGGTCCTGGATCACCCAGCTTCAAAATTTATTGCGTTGAGACCGAGAACAATAAAGAGCAAGAAGAATCAGGTGAGTATTCAAATGAGTTATTACAACATGTCAAACCACAAAATTTAGATATTACTGTATTTATATATGCCTTGCTTTTTTTAAGAGCAAAATTAAACATAAAATATAATTGTTACACGCACTGTAAAATTAAACGGTGCTTGCCATTGACAGATGAAAGTGAAACTGAGAACCAAAGCATTGCGAAGCTACCGAAATCACCCAGTCTTAACAGTGTAGAAAGCTTTGATTCTGCATCAGGGAACTTGGGAAACTCAAACGAGGTAAGCTGCTTTCATTATTTTGTGATACAAGATGGCATTCAGTACGTAACTTCATTTCACAATTTTTTAGAAGAGAAATTATATTATAAATTTAATCATAAAATTTATTAAAATAATAATTTTAGTAAGATATAAAAAAAATATTAAAAATTAAGCTCTTAGCTGTAGGGAAGTGTTGAAACATTCTTCTAAGTTCCATTCCCCAAACGGGATAATAAAGACCAGAACAAGGGCTATTATTGTGCATTTGATCTCACGGCCTCTTGTTATTGGATGCTTCAGATTGTGGAAATCCCATCAATTCCGAACAGAAAAGGACCTAAGAAAAAGAAATTCGGGGCTATGAAGAAGAATATACTGAACGTCAAGAATCTGAATATGAATCGAATGAACCAAATGTTGGCCTGCACCGGCAATGACAGAAGAAATCTTCTTTCAGATGACTGATTGCAACACTACACAAGGAGATAAAAAATGAAAATAACGAACCCATTGTACCATTTTTCTTTTTCTTTGTATGCATTTATAGGGCTCTTTTTTTTTTCTCAATTTCTTCTAAACCTCATCTGGTTGGTGGCATATCATTAATCAGTGTAGAAAGTAACCAGCTTACCTTTTTAAAGTACAATTTATATTTGTGTTTCATTCGTTAATTTAATTATGTAACTCGAATTATTCTCTATCAAACAAGCTGCCGGTCAGAGGACCTTTAATCAAACAACTATAACAAAAGTTGTTAAAAATCTATTACACAGAGAGGCATAGGATTCATTATCCTCGGTTATCATATTTAGAAACTTATATTACTTAATAAATTTTCACAAAATATTTAATAACTTTTTACAAAATCTAAAATTAATCAATCTATATATTGAATTATCTAATATTCTATTTATAATCATATATATTAAATTTTACATAATTTTGATATTTATAGATATTTTATTCAAAATTTGATTTTTTTTATATTTTAAAAATATGTCACTTGTTAAAATGAAATAATATGATAAAGTATTATTTAATTTTAATTTTATATAAATTTAAAAGATTTAGATTGATCAAATTTAAATTTTATAAAAAATTATTAAGTGGTGTAAATGCTCAAGTTTGACACTCAATATTAATAGATGAATTTTAACTTATATATATATATATATATTATTTAAGTGACTCAATTCTTTTCTTTTTATTTTAACCCAATAATTTGTTAACTATGTACAATCCTCACAATAGTATTTGTTGAAACCCTAACAAATAAAATGGAACTTTTTGCCAATTGAAAAATTAAGCCATGTTATCCCGACCATTTGAACGGATTATCCATATTTGTTATACGTAGATAAAAGAAATCATTGAATGAAGATGTGGAAAATTTCAAAATGTTTGGGTTAGTCAGATATTTGGAGAAGATACAAAATTTTGATAACTTGAAGATTAAATATTTTGAATTCAATTTAAAAAAAAAAAAGATCGTACTAATTTGGATTCATTTTCCAAAAGGAAAAAAATCAGTATATTAACATTTGAAAGAATAAATAAGGTGTTGTGACATATGAGGGGGCGAAAACGCTATGAAGTTATCTTAAAATTTTATAGCTTAATATATAAGTGGTATAAGAGCATGTTTTTTTAAGGATCAAATCTAGTGATCATAACATCTTCAGTTTTATTGAATTAGATTTAATTGTTGCCAATGAATTGATGTAAAACCAATACAAAATCAATTTTAATTTATAGCTAGTTTTATATGACGTTAGAAGCGTTTTAAAATCAAATTTTGACTCTTGTAAACACATGAATACATCAAATACTTAAACTAGTAACGTATAATGTCTTAATTAATGCTCAAATTTCTTATTCTCCATTTATTTTTCCTTACCATATTTACTTCCACAAGATTTGCACAGCTTAATTCAACAAAATTTTAACTAACCATTGGTCCATTTCTTCCCTTATTTGCTTTAACAACTTAATTCTTTTCGACCAAAACTCAAATCCCCCATTGCAATAACTATTTCTTTTTCACCAAGAAAATGACATCAAGCAATGAAAATGAAGTTCTTAATCTTCAAGATGGTAAGCATTTTATTCGATGTTTTTATTCAAACAGGTTCTTGTAACTGCACTGATTTTTAAAAAAGATTAACTAGTTAACTATTGAGATATACAACATGATTAACAAAGACAAATTGAACTCATGTAAATCAAAATCACAACTTACTTGTTATTATGAAGACTCGCATTTTATTTGCTCCATTTCACTAGCTCTTTTGCATTCCGTGATTCTAATATGTTATAGTTGTTTAAACCCACCCAAAATTTGAGAATCTCTCGCAAGTTGATTAACAACTCAAGGTTGCAGCGTTTATTTTAGTTAACAAGTGTGGATTAAGGGAAAATATTTATGCCAGAAGAAAAAAAAAAAGTTTATTTCAAGTTCTTCAAATGAGTTATGAGTAAGACTCTTTGTACACAAAACTTCATCTCCCTTGCTGGCCATTGCTTCACGTTGATTGAAAGAGTATCCTCTGTTTCACAGGTGATGAACGAATAAGTTAATTAGAGGTGTTTCACGTCAATGATTCAAATGATAATTTTAAGATGCAATACGAAAAATATGTAAATGATGATTTAAGAAGGGGTTTTAGGTTTCTAAAATATGAAACAATAAGGAATAAAATGATTAGTAAATCACAAGCCTTGACCATGAGAATCCTATAATGGTCCAGCGATTTACAGTGATTAATACTCACAGTCATTCAAAGCATTTTCATAAATGTGTCCACTAGTTTGAACTCTTGAGGAAATTTAGGATTCTACTACTTAAGAAAGAGTATCTTGGTGAATCAAATTTGAATTAAAAGTTCTGATACTTAATTAAAAGTAAATTAATGAACAAAAATTGAAATTAAATGACGAAATTTTGAAGACTATATTATAATATTTTAAAACTTTACCTTTTACAGTGACATGGTATAAACATTACATCCGACATTTATATATTAGACTTAAATTTGAAAGTTTTACAGCTTTTTACTTCAAGAAAGTATGCGTGAACAAATAACTAGAAGAAAATAAAAAATTATTAAAATTAAGTTGTGAATTTAATTAATGTAAAAAATTAGTGTGCATATGATTGCAACTTTTTTACCTATTTTTTTTTATTATTATTATTATCTCCATTTTTACCTTGAACTTTCGGCCAATGTACAGCAGTGAGAGCAATCCGTTTGGGTTTTTTAATAAGTTGGAGCAAATTTAAAAACAAATCACTAAAAAAAGCTATTTATCCAAAAAAAAAAAAAAAAAGAACAACAGTGAAAAATAGAGTAACTATGTCCTTAGTGTGTCTGCTGTGTAAGAGGCAAAAGCGGCAACAAGTACAAATTAAATACACTATTTTTGGAAAAAAAAAATCTTAAGATAGTGTCACCTGTCTTATTGCAGTAGATTGCCACGTGGCAACTGGCCTGTGTCATAATTTTGTATTCAGGTGCTCCCCGTTTCTCTTTGTTCTTCTCTATGTGCTTTAACAATTTTAAATATTTTCATTAATAAATATCATAAAATATCAACAATCATTATTTAATAACAAAATATAACATAGACAATAAAATAATAGTTCAATAATATATTCTATTATAATATGTCATCATATAAAAATTATATTATGATATTAAACATTATATGAATAATATTTTATTATGGAAATACTGTACATTTCTACAAATAGAATTATTTTTTAATATATGATATGGAAAAAAAAAATCTAACCCTGTCACTGTATTACAAAATTATTACTATGTTTTTTTAACAAAATATATTTACAATATTATTATTGCATCAACATAAATATAATAGCTTAACATGAAAATAAATTAATATTATGAAATTATAACATTAAAATAACATTGAAAATAATATGTAAATTGTTAAGATATTGAATTCTAATCATGAAATATTTATAATAAATTATTTATATTTAATATGTAACATCGGTTCAATTTTTCTTTAGATAATTAACTAATTTTTATTATTAAATTAATAATTATATAAAATATATAACTGTTATTTAATAAAATTTTCAAAACAAATATTTCAAGTAGTAGTATAAATTAAGTGATTTTTATATATTATAACTAATATTTTCTTGTGCACTTCATGACTAGTATCATTAAATTATATTAAAAAATTTAAATAAAAATAAAAATATATTATTTTAATTATAAATTTAAAAATACTAAATATTATAATAATTAATGATAAAAATATTTGCTTATTATCTTAAAAATATTATAATAATTTAAATAGTAAATATTATTAAATCTATTATTATCTTAATAAATATTATCTTAATTTTATTAATTCTATTATTATTACATTAACAAATAATTATTTAAAATTATTTCATATTTTAAAATTAATTTACTTCTTTATTTTAAAGACAATAATTATAAAAATTTATTCATGCATATATTGGTATTAATATTATAAACTTATAGAGTTTATCATAATTAATTTTATAATTAATATTTTATCATATAAATTATAAATTAAAATTATGCTTATTTATTTATTAATAATTTTTTAAAAATTGCAGGTGATAATATGTATATCGTAAAATTCTTGAAATCTTTAAATTTTAATGGATTCCTTTCCATTACTTGCAACTCCAAGATGGAATATCAATTATGCTATATAAGAATATTAATGAAACAAAACTCTTTATGAAAGATAATCATTAAATTATATTAAATTATATCTGTGAAAACTTATATTTAATCATGATCAATTATATGTTATATTGTCTAAAATAATATTAACGAAAGAAATAAAATACTTATTATTAAAGAAGATAACAAATATATAAAATATATAAAAAAATATTTCATTATATTTTTTAATGTAATTATATTTAATATAATAATTTTTTTTATCATATTTATATATTTTATATTTAAATTAAATTAATTTAATAAAAATAAAACAAACTGTGCAACGCACGGATATATTTACTAGTAAATAATAAATATTGCCACACTTGGCCATTTTTTTTAAAAAAAAAATAGTATATTTTATGTGTAAACTAGTTTAGTAAACCGTGTTTATATAAATATTTTATTTAGAAAAAATGTGTAAATAATTTAATAATAAAAAATATTTTTATATTTTAAATTATTATATATATAAATTATTTATAATTTTTAAAAATTATTTTGATTTAATTCTATAATTATAAATAATAAAAAATAAATAATTTTAAAATAATATTTTTATTGTATAGTGTTAAATTTTTAATTAATATTAATATTTTTAAATTAAATACTAGTTTAACATGTTAATTGCTAATTAAACTAATATTAAAGTTAGACAATAGACATTATTCAAAATTTAAAAGAAACAATTTACAACTTTTAAGTTTTGTAGAATAAATTGTAAAAACTATCGTAAAACATTTTAAAAATGAGAATAAAATAAATATTTATTAAGTGAAAAATAAAATTAGAAATTAAAGTAATAATTAATTAGAAATAAACTTTGAATTTGGCTGAATCGAAAGTGCAAATATGTAAACGAAATAAAGAGTTTGGAAAGGTACATGATTGGTCTCAATGCTACAATGTCACTTTCTGTAATAATGTAAGAAAGAAGCCCTTACAAAAATCTGGGTGTGATCCTTAAACAAACTTAATAAAAAAAACTTTATTATATATATAAAGGAAAAGAGAGTCAAACCCATTTGAACAGTGCTAGTTATTGTTTGCCAGCGACATCATTTGCTGGTGCTATTATTAACGTCAGGACATTCTGCAGCAACTAGGTGGCGGTCAAATTTTATGATATCTTCAGATTAAAATAATGAAGAATGAATATTTAAATTTATAATATAACGATAAGTTACAAAATAATTTTTTCTCCTATTTAACTCACCATAAAGAGAATATTTTATTTTTTAAAATTTGTTTATTTTCAACAGAAAAATAAAAAAATTCTCTTATTTAACTCATAATAGGAAAGATTTATTTATTTATTTTCTATTCTCAATAAAAAAATAAAGAATTTATAATTGCCTGATATGGCTTAAAACATAGGCAAATAAAACTATGTTAGTCTTCAATTTTTGATGTACTGAAATTTTATATTATATATATATATATATATATATATATATATATATATATATAAAATATAATATTGTTTAAAACTGACATTAAATTAAAGGTATTTAACATAAAAAAATATATTGTTAATTTCAAGAAGCTGTGTTTGTATGATTTTAGATAATGTTTAATTACAATTTAAGATACTAATTAATATTTAATTATTATATTTAATAAATATTATGTTCTTAGTAAAATGTAATGTTATTAACTGCTTATAATTTATAGAATATTATCAATGATTTTTGCTATTAGTCATTTAGTGAAAAAAAGTGTTATTTTAATTAAACTTGATAAAATGTTGTCCACAGTTAAGTATGTCTGAAGAAAAAAAACTAATTTCATAATTAAAAATTAAAATTTGAATTTATTTATGTAAACTTAGTAGTTAATTTTACATCAAAAATATAAAAAAATAACACAATTATTTAAAACATATTTTACATTATTGATAGTCTTGAATTGATTTTTGTCCGGCTCTTAAATATTATTGAGTCAAGGTTTTTTTTTTCTTTTATCTCAATAAATACTTTATTTGAAAGAATTGTAGCGAGATAATATTCTTAAAATAATTATTTGATAATATACAAATCCATCTCAATATAAAAATTTTGAATATTAAATTTTAAATAATAGAATTTTTTCTAAATATTGTCAAATGAGGACATTTTAAAGAATTAATTTTTTCTAATAATGCCAAATTACTTTTTTTTATATTATGCATTTATTTTTAATTAATTATTAATTTAAAATTTGAATTTTTATAATTTATTTAATTATATTTAATATTATGAATTTATTATAATAAATTAAATAAGTCATTTATTATTTAAAATTTCATCATCAATTATTTTTTAAATTTAAGAATATTTATGTACTATATTTTTAATTAATTATTTTAAGAAATAATTTAATTTGATGATACTCATTAATGCATGAAAAAATACGGATACACAATTAATGAAAGTGTATTTTAAAGAATTTATGAAGTAATATCTTAAAAAATTAATAGTATACTTTAATAATAAACTATTTTCCTATTTTAACAAAAAAAAATGGGGGGAAAACAAAGCTAAATAAATAGCACAAAGCAAGAATCCAAACAGAAGCGTCATTCACCGCACCGGCACAGCAGAAGGAAAAAGGCATTTCAATATTAAAAATAAAAGAACAAAAAGAATTGAAAATCGAACATCACTCGAGCCACACCACTCACTATCATCACTAAGGTGAAAAGCAACAAGCTTTATTCTTGCTTCTTCTGTACAGCACCCAAACGTGAGTGAGTGAGTGAGGGAATGAGTGAGAAACCGCTTATTCTTCTTCTCTTTCACATTTGTTCTTACAGTTACATAAGAAAATAACCGTTCTTTTTAATTTTGTTAGTTTAATTTCTCTCTCTCTCTCCCGTCTGTGACTCATCTCTAGGGTTTGGTAATTGGTGTCAGATTGAAGAAGATGATAGACTTTGCTCGCGTTCAGAAGGAGCTCGTGGAATGCGGCAAGGACGCGGAAGGATCGGGCATCAAAGTGAAACCTAAGAGCGACAACCTCATTCTCTTGATCGGAACCATTCCTGGTCCTCTCGGAACTCCCTATGAGGGGGGCATTTTCCAGATTGATATCACATTGCCAGGTACCATTTTCATTTCCCTTTCTCTCTTTTTTTTTAAATACTCTTTCCCCAATTGTTGTTTTCCCATCACCCTAGGGTTTTCAATTCCCCTCAATTTGGGTTCTTCTTTTTCAATCGCCAATGAGTATTCCCTTTCGCTGTTTTCCTTGCAGATGGATACCCCTTTGAACCCCCCAAGATGCAGTTTGCAACCAAAGTCTGGTATGGAAGGACAATGTTTTTTTTTTTTTTTTTTGTTATGTTTTTCTCTTTGAGGGGTCTTTAATGACCCGGCGTGTGTTGCTGTTAAGAGTGGTTAGGTTTGAAATGGAACTATGAAGCATTTGTTGGGATTTCTTGAAGTGCTTGATCTTGTGAAATATTTGTTTTTCATGTCGAATTTGAATGGAAATAAAAAAGGGGAGAAAGAATTTTTGTCAATGTGGAAAGTAGTTGCACTTTATTGTTTGACATGCCTTTAGTGTAATCCAAGAATGTAGCTAGGGTTTGGATTGGAAGATGATCTTTTCATAAACCTAAGTGTCGATCTATATTTATGGATGATATAGGCAGTTGTCATGCCGTCTTGTGATGTGGTTCTGTTGGTTTTGATTTTGTTATTCATGCCGCAGCAACTCTGTGGGTTCATCTTAACCTAGTAGAGAAGATTAATATGCTGATCGTCTTTGTAAAATAGAGTATGGTAATGTGGTGCATTTCTCGTGGAGATCGGTTGATATTATGAGTTCTATGTTGCATCTGCGTGAATATCTCCCTTTTACTGTATCTCATTTATCATTATACTTGCAAGTTCTGTGGCAAACATGAGGTTTCAATTGCTCTGCATCAGGAAATATCAAAATATATTTGTAGCCTTAATAAAATGAACGATTCCTGTGCATACCAAATTAGTGTGCATTCCTATGACATAGTATTTGTTTGGTTGATTAATTCTTTGATTTTATTGTGCATGTTAAACATTGAAGGCACCCTAATATCAGCAGCCAGAGTGGAGCTATTTGCCTTGACATTTTGAAGGACCAGTGGAGTCCAGCACTCACTCTGAAGACTGCTCTTCTTTCTGTGCAAGCACTTCTCTCTGCTCCTCAGCCTGATGATCCTCAAGATGCTGTTGTGGCGCAGCAGGTTTGATTTGTTCTGTTGTTTAGTTATATCCAAAGGTTGTTTAACACAAGAGTTTACGGAAACTCTTGTAGTGTCCGTAAACTTGACTCACAAACTCGCAAGAGTTTACCTCATGTAAAAATAATATTTAATGAGCCATAATAATGAAACAAAGCACGATAACAAAGTTAAAAACATACTTAAATAGCCAAATTGTATAATGAAAGTGTGATTTTGGTGCCCTAATTCCTATTGTGGAAAGGGAAGAAAAATGGTGCCCTAATTCCAAACAGTGTTGATTTGGTGAGAAAATATGATTTTCCTTTTGTTTTGCTAAACTTGTAGACTTGGATGTAAACTTGTGAGTTTATCCAAGTTCATTCAAGGTTACCTGTGTTTGCCTACGTTTATCTAAAAATGAGTTTACATGTGATTTGGCATGATTTTCTTACATGCAATTGTCTCATGTGTTTAGGAGTTAAACACAAATTCAACCACCATGGTTATATCTCTTTCTTCTCATACGCTGTATGTGTGGAACTGCCAAAGCACAGTATATTGAAGATTCTATACCTGTCTAGATTTTACTTGATCAACTTCTGTTAATATTGCTTATTTTTTCAAGTCCTTCTGTCTTTATAAAGCAGTGTCTATATATGAATCATGCAGTATCTGAAAGACTACCAGACATATGTTAGCACTGCTCGCTACTGGACAGAAAATTTTGCCAAGGCCTCGTCTCGTGGGATTGAAGATAAGGTACCAAGTTTGTTGCATTTTTTGTTATTGAAATATGGATGCACATTATTGAGCATATTTTAATTTGCCTGACCAATTAGTGATATTTTTGTAACATTCAAGACAGACATGCATTACTTTCTTAGATGGGTTTGTTTTTGATATGTTGGCAGTTGAGGTTATTGTTTTACACAAGCATATTGTTTTATTGTTTTGTTGTTAACAACTTTATTTGCTGAAGAAATTTTAATAATGATCTAGTTAATATATATTATTTTATTAGTAGTGCCTTTATGATAATTTTATAAGAAAATGATGAATCCAAAAGTTTTATTTGTAATCAATTATAATTTTATACCAAATTTGTGTTTTGAATTTGAAGAATGACTTGCATTGACAAGCATAACCTATTTAAGAATAATGATGTACTTTTTATTTGTTAGTGTCAAATTATGAAATTTAAGCTACTTTGGTAATTATTTTAATTTCCATTGCTAATGAATTAATTATGACAACATTTATATATCATAATTTATAACGCTTGCAATTTGTTTTCAATTTGGTGCAGGTACAGAAACTAGTTGAGATGGGATTTCCTGAAGCTCAAGTAAGGAGCATTTTGGAAGCTGTTGGTGGTGATGAAAACTTGGCTCTTGAAAGGTTGCTGTAACCTCAAGTGTGAGATATCGACTAAAGCGTGTTGATGACGGTGAAGTTTAGGATGACATATCGCCATATGATGTTGGAAACATATAGACAAAAACGGTTAATTGAATATAAAGTAATATAAATATACTTGGCATATCGTATAGTTTTGTTTTACTCTGCCTTCTTTTTTCTCCTTGGAAACTTTGGTACTCGACATTTTCCTAATGTTTTATCAGGGTATGAAATTAAATACCTTACTGGTAAGGTTTCTGCTCGTGGATCCAAAGAGTTAGTTGAGGGATGAAAGGCAAATAGATTGATGATTTTGTCGGAAGTTTGCTTTATTCATTTCAACAATATGTATTCTAAATGTGATGTGAAATGCCGGTATTATATATTTTGCTTTCGGCCTGCAAATTATTTAAATTAAGTGCCTGTACATAAATGAATCTTTGTGTTGCATTTGGGGCTGGGGCAAATCGATATGCATTCCGCATTAATCCATTACTTGCGATCATTAATGAAATTAAACCAACACAAACACCAGAAGCAACAAATACAATTCCCTGTTAGTAAGACGTTAAAATCAATGAACTCATTGTCTTCGAAGCCATGATAAATATGATTATTACTTTGTTTAACGTGAGTTTAAAGATATATAACAAGAATCTATATTTACATATAGTATTTTTTTAAATTGAAAGTTACAAAATACTATGATATTTAATGTATTCGTAACATTAAATGTAGGGTATTTTAACATTACCGGTTTAATGGGTTTAAATTCAATCTTCATTCAAACTACATTTTAAAAAAAATCAGATAATTAGAATTAGTTTAGAAATAGGCATATTGCATTTGAAAATTGGATGTAAATCCATATCCACTTGGATTGCAATAGATTTAAACTACGTTTTTTTTACTTTCCCTTTCGAGTCATATTCATAGTTTACCTTTCTTCTTTGTACCTATCATCCCTAATTTGATTTAAAGACACAAATTGGCCCCCTTTTTCTTTAATCCAAGCATTTCATGACTCAAGTACTATTTGGAGGGAAGCTAGTGATATTTGTGTTGTATTTTGAATTGCACATACATACATAGCAAGAAGATCTAATTAGCAGGCACCTACCTTTGTGGAGAAATTTGTTGACCTATTTTATTTGTTAATTTTGAGATTGTTCATTCATAAGTTTTATACACTCCACCTGTAAGTCAATGTTGTATCAATTCTTTGTGCATGTGTGCTTAGATGCTTCGGTATACGTATTTCCAGTATCTTGGTAAATTGTTGGCTTCTCCTATATTCATTTGTTCTCACGAGTGTTTAACGGGCGTTGATTGCTTAGAGTTAATTTATCATTTGTTCTCTTATGGTTATGAAATCTCTTACTCAGCATTTTCACAGTACTGAATTTCTTAATCATTATACTTTAAAAAGAGATACAACGAGTTATAAAATAAATTTTATAGTGAACCAAATTTTGTTTGAAAACTTGTTTATGATATTATTAATGTGAAAATTTTTAAAATTTCATATTGCTTGTAAACCTCATAATAAATTAGATACACGACTATTCTATTATACGGTCTAATGTGAGTTAATATACCTTAAAATGATACAACATAAGTTATAAAATAGATTCGACAATGAAACAATTTTATTTATTTTTATAACATTTAAATGATATAATTTTAATAAATTTTATTATTTATTAATTTTTTATTACTTCAATTTAGACAAACTAACTAGAGTTGGTTCAAATAATTGGAATTTGACAAATTTTTCTCAGTACAAGAACTTAAAAAAATTCTGATACAAAATGTTATGTTTTATTGATGGAATTAAATTTAATTTTAATATTTTTAAAAATAATTTATATTATCACTTATTAATAATATAGCATCTATTGAGAAAAATCACGTCATATACTAACTCAAAATAATTAGTAATGTAAGATAATAATAAAATTTATTTAAAAATAAATATTTTTACGGACTAAAATAAACTTAGAAGATCAAAAATTAAATTTAATAATATTTAAAAGAACTATAAACATTTAAATCAAATTTTTTATTTAACAGTTTTCATCTTTTACTTGCTTCAACTTTTATTTGCTTTGTAACAAAACATTTTATTTTTAATCCTTGTTGGTCAAAAAATTGAAGTTTGAAATCAAAGTTAAAATTTGATATTTAAAAGTCCTTTTAGAATGGAGTTTCAATTTTAAGATTCAATTCTATAGAATCGTTGTATAGCTAAAATTAATAGTAAAAGCCCCAATTTTATTTAAAATTATTTTCGTTTATTTTGTGCATTTGATTTGATTTTTATTCTTATTTACTTTTAGAAAAAATAAAACATTGAAGACCAAAATGTATGAAAATTATAAAATAGTAAAAGTCGTAATTTTTTTCTAAAAATTTGAAACAGCTGGTGGCAGGCAGGACTTACCCCGGCATCTATTGAGGATCAAATTTTGAAGGTGCTTATGATTAAAATAAAGTAATTTTATATTAGTTAATTTATTCGATGGGTGCTTATGATTTAGTTTTTTTTTATTTAAAACAAAATTAATTTACCAGAAAATATTTAATTTAAATAAAATATTTAATAATATTGTATAAGTTGTGATAGTTTTATCATTTTAAATTCTTATATTTTCTATAATTTTTTATTATTTTAAATTATAAAAAATTTGCTCTAAAATATTAACATAGTAAGATGTCTTATTATTATTAGACAAAATTACTCTTTTTGTCCCTTAACTTTAAGATAAGATTTACTTTCGTCCTCTAACATTTTTTTTAGTCTTTTAATTTTTACAAAAGTTTGAAATAGGTCTTTTTTTGTTAAAAACTCTAATTCTGTTAAAAAAATTTGTCATTTTGTGCTACGTGTACTATGTCACTGTTCATCATCTTCTCCATCATATCACTGATTTTGTTTCTGGCACTTTTTCTTTTTTCTTTTCTCCTTCATCTTCATCTTCTTATACTTAAAACTCAATTTTCTTGTCAAATAATTCATATTCAAAGTTAAAGAACAGTCTTCCCTAGCCATATTTTCTTCTTCTCTTCCTAAAATTCTTTTGATCTAAATGTCTCTATAATATGATTAAAAATATTTATGCCCCCATTAAGTACCTAGTTTGTTGATTAAAAAAATTAAGTCACATTTTATTCAGTTAAATCTAGGGCTTATATTTGATAAACCAATTAATTTTTAAAAGGATTAAATATTTTTGTAGTTTATTTTTTCAGTGGAAATGACAAAGGAGTTGCAGTGGGAGAAGGAATGTATGTGAGGTAGAGACCTGGAAGGAGTGTCGATAAGGGTAAGAGGAACGAAATTGGGGTACAGATAATGGGGTAAACAAGTTGGGGGATGCACTTACAGCTATGAGTATGGATTTTCCTATGCCTCCATCACCAGTGATGACGATTCTAACTCCCCTATGACCACCGGAGTTGGATGGACCTACAATTGCAACAAACTACAAAATAAATGTAAACGAGCGTTTAAACTCAAAGTCAATGGTGGCATAAATTTTTCATTAGAGAAGAGGAAAACAAGATGACCGAACTTCTATGAAAAATGAAAATTAAAAAGTTAGGTTATTTATGGTTTGGGATTTAGGGGTGGGTATTTGGTGTTAATGACAAGAAGATAAAGTTTTAAATATAAAAATATAAGATGAAAGGGAGAAGGAAGAAAAAAATATATCAGAGATAAGATAAGAGATTTACGGAAAAAGACAATGAACAATAACACACAATACATGTGATACAAAACGACAAAACTTTTTAATAGAGTTAGGGCCTTTAACAAAAAATGATCTATTTAAAATTTTTGTAAAAGTTAGAGGACTAAAATAAACTAAAAAAAAGTTAGAGAACGAAAATAAATTTTATCCTAAAATTAACGGACAAAAATAATAATTTTATCTTATTATTCTTATTAAAGACTCTGAGATAAGAAGCGATGCTAGTATAGCTTATAACAGAGGTAAAATTGTCTTTGGTGTTATTCAATTTAAAGAATCAACACCAAGGTTTAATAAATTTTTTAGTAATTTATTTGTTTAGTTGTTTTTAAATTTATTATGTAGTTTTAAAAATTTATTATTTTCACTAAAATAATAATATTATTTGTAGTTATAATTTAAATTATTTAAAAATTGTATAATATATAAATAATTTATTTTAATTAAAATTTATTAAAACATATTTAAAGCAACTTTAACTTTGTAAATAATTTTAATTATTTAATTTATTATTATTATTTATTAATTATTTTGTTAAATTTAATTATATATGAATATGTGAATATATTAAAATAATATTATTTGTAATAATAATTGGACTAATATTTAATACTTCAAATTTAATAATTTAAATTCTATTGGTATGTTATATATCTAATGCAAGAGAAATTAAATTATAATTATTGTATATTAGAATGGTAGAATTAATGAAATAAATGAGTGTTACTTTTGAAGGAAATAAAAAAAAATAACTCAAATATAATATGAGATAACTTTTGATACGTTAGAAAAAAAAAAATTATACGAGTGTTTAACAATATATATTGATGGATATAATATATAACGATGAATATGTTGATTGCATGATAAGTGTGTTAATATTAGAGGAGTACAATTTAGTTATATGCAGATATTACTTCTTTTGATGAAAGTTTATATGTTTGTTCACAATTAATTGTCTTAATTTTATCAATTGCACGTGTTAATGTTAGTAATGATGATTAGTATGCAAAAGTATATATACTTACAAATTACTTTATTCATATCTTTTACAATTTTAAAATATACATGTTTACGTCAAGAGAAGTACATAATAATGCAAGAAGTAATTGCAATGAAGGATTTAAAAATGAAGATGACAATGATAATGATAATAAAGATGAAAATAAAGGAAAAATTCTATTAGACAATTCTTCTAATACTGGTTTGAAAAAAATTTTGATTTGATTTTGAATATACCATAAAATCCACAAGAATCATGTATTTATGTCAAATTAATAAGTTAATATTTATATTTATTTATAAATAACAACAAATAATAATCATGTGGTTGCAGTGCATGTGTGATTAGAACTCTATTTTAAAATATAAGTCCATAATATAGTTATATTAATTAGGAACATTTTGATTAATAAACAAAAATTTTAAATTTGCATAACTTTGAAACATGTAGGGAGAGAGATACATTATATGTTGATGAATTATTTGACTCTAAAATAAATGTTAAAGTGGCTATAAAATATTTTTACATTATATCTTTGAAATTTTTAAAATATTAAAATTAATTTAGTCAATATAAAATAAGTAAGAAAAGAAACTAAGATTAAAAATAAAAGTTGTAGGTT